TCCTGATCAGCCACTGGTTCAGTAGTGACAGCCATAGTGTAGGTCTAGGCTAGAGACCATAGTTGACAGGATCCCTGTCAGGATTCTGTAAGTCTTAGATTGGGTATATAGGTTTGTCAGTTAGGGGTTAGAGTCTACGTGGTGAGGAGTGGAATCATTTTGATTGTGCACCTATCACCATGGTTGAGACCCGTACTGGGTTAGAGACTAGTCCCTATAGTCAGGAACAGCAAGAAAAGATGGCTGCCTTAGTCAGAGAGAATAGGGAGAGGAAAGAGCGTGAGAAGCAAGCGAAGCTAAAGGCTATCGCAGATGAACAAGCGGCGAAGATGAAGAGATTGGAGGAGGAGATGAAGAAAATACAACAAGAGGAGGAAGAAAGAAGAAAAGTTGCTGAAGCAGAAGCGGCAGCAGAAGAAGAGAAAGAGAGGATGAGGATTGAGAGTGGAGAAGGGAGTAGTGGTGGCACGATGACAAGGGAAACAGATACAGGGCTAGAGAAGAAGATCAGCGAGTGGGTCGCTAATTTATCGTTGGGGGAAGACGAGGAGGCGAAGTCCTGTGTAACTAAGGATGAGAAGGCAGCGTTGGCCGCTGAGCTAGTAGCCATGACAGACCCAATGGAATGAAGAGAGAGGGAAGACGAGCAAAAGTTAGCCTGGAAGTTGAGAATGAAGAGGGAGAAGAAGAGGAGGAGAGAGGAAGTGAACAAGATGACCGCAGCAGTGGCAAAGGTGCAGGAGTGTAGAGCGGAGGTGCTGCCCCAACCAGACGATAAGGCCAAGTGGGACAAAGTACTGGGGTATCTGGAGGTGTTGAGCAAGGCCTGGATGGAGGAGCGTCAGGCAAGCTGGAGACAGGATGTAACATTGAGTGCCATGCGATCAGGGTTTAGAGATTTTGCGCGCGAGATCGTCACCCATATTGGGGGCGAAGTGAAGCACTTGAGAGATGATGTAAGGAAGTTTTGTGAGGGCGCTATTCAGGGTGCCAAAGCTGTAGCCGCTGTAGAGGGAGAGGCCAGACCCCGTAAGAACCCAGTGAAGCTTAGGTTTCCGGATGCGTACGGGGGAAAGAAGGAAGAAAACTTTGACAACTGGGAAGCCAGTGTCAATAGTTATATTTATTTGCAGCATATCTTGGTCGAGGAACAAGTCCTTGTGGCCTTCCAGGCCCTCAAAGATGAAGCGGCTAGTTTTGCCAGGTCTCTTGCGCGTACAGCCGGTTGTGAAAACAACCTGGTTGCGTATTCCAAAGTCACTCCTCTCTCCCAATTCCTCAAGCTCCTCAAGGAGCGGTTCGCTGACCCAGCACGAGGCATTAGAGCCTTTGATAAGCTTCAAACGATTCACTCTCGACAGTGGAGGAGTGCCAAGGCACTCAAGAGTACTATGGACGACTTGGTAGCCGTCCCTGACCACGGGGTCACCGAACCCCAATTGGTCCATTTGTTTTATCGTGCCATCCCAGAGGCCCTACGCGGGCATTTCATTGACAAGTCTCAGCAGACCGACATCACATATGATCAATTGAGTAKGGAGGTCGTCCTGTATGAGTCAAAGTCTATGCCAGTTACCACTTTCTGGCATAAGGACCTGGAGAAGGGAAAGAAGTGGAAGAATCGTACTATCTCAGGCCAAGTAAAGGCCAAGGATCACATTACCCTGACGTTAGAGGAAGGTGGTACTGATGAGGTCCCGGATGATCAGATTGAGTGGGGCCTCGAAGATGATGGCAGTAGTGTGGGGCAAGGGAGGTCTTACGCTGTTGTCGCGGCTGGAGGGAGGCCGCAAGGAGGAGGAGGAGGCCAGGGCCAAAGGGGCCCCGCCATGGGAGGCCGAGGACCGGGCGCACAGGGGGTTGGCGGACAGGGAAACCGCCAAGCGGGAGGTAGGGGTCAAGGTCCCCCGTCAAATCGTCAGGGTCATTGGTCCCCACAACGAAGAGGTGGAAGAGCACCTCAAGGAGGTTGGCACCCAGGCTTGCCACAGGGCAGGCCTTGGGAAGACTTGGGCTTGGACCGACAATTATGGCAGGAACGCGTGAACATGGGTCAGTGCGTATTCTGTGGTGACCCAGCCCACGTTATCAAATTTTGTCCAAAGTATAGACAGGCCCGTTGGGCTGC